CTGGGGAGCACACGCAGCCCCCGGAATGAGACAGACCTCTCTGGGCGTCTTCCTGATGAAGCACAGCCCGGGACATCCATAAATCTTCAGTCCCGGCACGCACCAGCGACACATATCAGAAAACTACGTGCACGCTCACTCAGCAGAGTATAGCAGAAACAAAGTGGAACTTTGGTGTGTGCATTCTAAGTATTTATTAAGCAATATATACAGGAGAAAGCAATCATGGTGACTCTCTCCTTTCTTCTCCAAGAGAGAGAGAGTTAAAAAAAAAAAGTACAAAAGAACAGTACAGCGGAAGAGAGATAAGCCTGACTTCCGTTCTCACACTTTCCAAGCCTAGAAAGTAAACACTGACATGTGATGTAACAATCACACATCCAGCAACGGAGGAGTGAAATGCTAACAGTCAGTTCATGTATCCGCAGCAGCGATGGAGAAATGACCGCTGGGAGGAGAGCAGAGAGGAGAAACACCACGGTGCATCTGTAACAGCAAAACTGGATGCCTTCATCTGCCCCAGAGGCCATAAAACATGTCTCTCCCATATCGGTCTCCACAGCCATATCAGACACTGTAAGTCTCCAACGGTTTGACTTCACCCCCAATGGCACACTCTTCCATTGCCTCTTGAGATAGACGGGTGCCAGCAACAACGTAACAGCTCCCAGCACACTTAACAAACAATGGCTGAATCGCCACACTGAAAGTTTGATTCCTTGCAAATGCAAAAAGAACATTATGTGGCACCTGCGCTTGGTTTATGTCCCATTAGGTGGGATGGACTGGGCAGAAATCCAAACAACTTGAGCAGTAGGTCTGTCCAGTAAGGCTCCAGTCATCTTGTGCTTCCATTTGCTGCATTTGGAGCCTTGTCTGCCAGAGATTTCTGCTTGATTTCATTCCCTACCTGGTGGACTACCGCAGAGAGTTGGAATAGCATCCATCTGATTGTTTCCTTCGGTCCTCAGATTTTCTCTCAAAGCCTTATTTCATTGCTATAACAACCAGTCACTCTGTTTATGTTGTAATTGCAATCACCTTAACCTTGAGTATCCCCTTTTCCCTGAAGTGACCCTTTTATTTTCAGAATGAATTAGCTCACCAAGACTGCACAAACATAACATGCAAAGCAATTGTTCGTATTTTGTCAGAACTGGGAAAAAACAATTATATTTGGTAGCTTTTAATTAAATATTAAAGGAAAAGCCTCTCCTTTATCTTAAAAAAAATTTAATTAGCTATTATGCAAGTGCCAGAAGGTACATTATATCATTTTTGGAAACGAACTGCAGATTGTGGTTGTGGGTGCTCGAATGAGTTTGTAAACTGAAGTTATGGACAGCATTTAATGACGATGGTGTCATTCCTGCTTGTGGTTTCAGTCTTGGTGAGTTATCTGGATATGTTTTCTGAAGACATCTTTTCTTCTTCATCTCCTCCTCGTTAGTAATATTATTATCTATGTAAGACCCCCATTTTTCCCACAGTGGCCATTCGGATGCTCACTGGTAGCAAAAGGTCCCAGGTACAATCCTCAGCATCTCCTCTTAGTGCTGGAAAAGGCTCCTGTCTGAAACCCTACAGAACCATTGTCAGTCAACACTGAACTTGATGGTCTGACTTGGTATAAGGCAGCTTTCTGCATTCTGATGCTCCCTCTTGATCTGTGAAAGATTCCTACACGAAATCGAAGAGAGTCACTGCCCATCAGAGTAGACAATATTGAGCTAGATGGATCACATACACCTCAATGGGACATCCCATTTTGGGGAGCCATGCTCTTCAGGGGTGCTGCAATCTCTTTATTCTTTGCAAGTACAGAATTGTGGCGTTTTGGGGGCACCACAATTTTGCGAGGGGTCACGTACTTACGGGTGAGTGCATCCCAGAAGATGTGCATCCCAGTTTGCTATGGCAACCTGTTGGAAGCAATGGGATCAATGTTCCAACTTGTTAAAAGGCAGCATCATATGTTTCTATGCTTCTGAATACTCCACAAGCACGTAATTGCTTTCTATTCTACATACTAATAACTGCACACAGCATTACAGCATCGTTTCTCTTCCACTACGGTTCAACGTTTGCAAACAACGACATTATTCATCTCATTGTCCACTGTGGCAAAATCACGTAACTTATGGAAGTTGTGTTATCATTACATTATTTCGTGATGGTGATTTTATTTATCTGTTTCTCACCATTTTCCCCAAAACAAAACAAAATTAAAACAAATACAGAGAAAACACACTACTAAAGTAACATAATAGGTTACTGTTAAAAAGTAATTAAACTTTTCCATCTCATTTGTTTCAGCACAAAGAACACATGGTGCAAAACCGGGGTGGGGGTGGGGCAGGCATGTAATCCATTACATATCACTTGTGAACTGAAAGAAGTCGCTACAGTGAATGCCAATCACATTTGCTGGTTGCCTGCGTCTGGGATTGGCGTACTCTGCCTACCTGCCTGCACACTGTCTGGCCAGAGCGGTGTTAGGATTCCTGCTCCGTGTTTGCAGGCATGAGATTGTTGTCTATACACATCGGTGTATGTTCTCATTCCACAGTGTGGGAAGTGACGGAGACAGGATGTTTATGTTACTGTGTTCTGTGAAGTGGGACTATTGTCCTTCTTTCTTTCTTTCTTTCTTTCTTTCTTTCTTTCTTTGCCGTCTGATGAGAAAGAGGAAGGAGCTAAGTCAGAATGCTCCAAGTGTATTATATGGAAATAAACATAGATTAGCCAAAATGCTGTGCTACTGAGTTCTGTTAAGCAAACTGCGAATACTCTGTGGATCCCTAAGTGTGCTTATGATTCTTGGTATCAGTAGCTGTGATGTTCGGGCTGGAGAAAGCTCTTGAAGCTCCCGAACGATCGACCAGGAGGGAGAGAACATGCCAGTCAGGCATGTGTCTCTACCAGGGTCCTACACGGGAGTAGGACGATCCTAACAAGCAGTACATGCTCTGGTTATCTCCCACTTGGACCACCGCAATGCTCTTTATGTGGGGCTACCTTACAAGGGTAACTTGGAAACTAGAACTAAGCCAAAATGCGGCAACTAGACTGGTGACTAGGAGTAGCCACTGAGTCCATATAACACCGGTCCTAAAGGATTTTCACTGGCTCCCAGTATGTTTCCAAGCACAATTCAAAGTGTTGGTGCTGACCTTTAAAGCCTTAAATGGCCTCGGCCCGGTATACCTGAAAGACTGTCTCCACTCCCACCATTCAGCCTGGACACTGAGGTCCACCTCTGAGTGTCTTCCGGTGGTTTCCTCACTGCAAGAAGTGAAGCTACAGGGAACCAGGCAGAGCGCCTTTTCAGCAGTGGTGCCCTCCCTGTGGAACGCTCTCCCATCAGATGTCAAGGAGATAAAGAACTATACAACTTTTAGAAGACATCTGAAGGCAGCCCTGTATCGGGAAGTTTTTAGACATATTATTATTTTTTATATATTGCTGGAAGCCACCCAGAGTGGCTGGGGAAACCCAACCAGATGCTGGGGTATTAATAACAACAACAACAACAACAACAACAACAATAATAATAATAATAATAGAAGATTTGGTTTTTAAGAGAAGTTCTTCCTCTTACCTTAAAAAACATTTTTGACCAAAAAGAAACAAGAAAAGCTTTCTGCACAGATTTCCTTAAAAGCAGAAAGTCTTCGCTTTTCTAAAAGTAACACTATATGTAATACACAGCCTCCCTGCCTTCCTGGACATTGTGGAGAAAACAATCAGTTAAAACACATTCGGCAAAGAGTAAGGTCTAAGTGTTGCTCCATGCAGGTTATGCCAATTCTCTCCATTTGCCTTCTTTGAAAGTGGTTTGCAAAACCATCTGTATTAGCTGCACTGATTTGCACCAATGCCATTGCTCTGTGCATGCGCACCATACATTTAAAACACATTTAAAGCACTGCCCCTCGCCCTAAGAATCTTGGGAATTGTTGTTTACGCCTCCACAGAGCTCCAATTCCAAACATCCTCAAAACACTACAGTTCCCAGAAGTCTTTGGGAACAAGTGGGAACTTGCTTTAAATGCGGGGTGTGTACGCAGCCTTTGGAAGAATCACAGCAGCAGCAGCATGCAGTGACTGATACCTGAATTGAAAGATTGCTGTCTAGCGCACAACAGCAACCAGGGAGCATGCTGGGCTGACGTGCCATCTTGCCCTTGTGTTCCCTTACGGGAGTCTCAACAGGCAATTATCTGAGGTGATAGTAAATGATAAACGCTTTTATTTATTATTTACTAATCTCCAGGGTTTCAACAGCGTTCAGGAAGGGAATAAAAGACTGCCTTTGAAAAGGCTCCCTCTACGACAGCCAAAACAGGTACTCTCTCTCCCTCTCTCTCCCTCTCTCTCTCTACACAGTGCCTGCGGTGTTCTGGGTTGCGTTGCCAGACACATAAGCTCCCGTCCAGATACAGTCTAGGGATGGGGGATAAATTCAATTCGGTGTACATTTGAAGGCTAACTAAGCTGTCAGATTTGCACTTCCCAAAACAATACACAAAACCAAAACACAGCCATGTTTCCAAATTCCGAATGTTGCAACGCAGTTCTCCCACTAAGTGATGTGTGCAAATATGCATATACTAGAGAACAGGGAGCATAAAGATACATAGATCTGTAAAAAAAAAAACCATGCAAAAAATGTATTTTATATTAGAGGGAAATTGTTTGATGTGCCACACAAGTTAGGCAAAAATTCAGTGCAAAAAAAATTAGGATAATTTTGCGCTAAAATGCTGACAATTTTTTACAAAGACCATATACAATGGTACCTCGGGTTACAGACGCTTCAGGTTACAGACTCCACTAACCCAGAAATAGTACCTCGGGTTAAGAACTTTGCTTCAGGATGAGAACAGAAATCGTGTGACAGTGGCACAGCAGCAGCGGGAGGCCCCATTAGCTAAAGTGGTACCTCAGGTTAAGAACAGTTTCAGGTTAAGAACGGACCTCCGGAACAAATTAAGTGTATATATATATATACACTCACACACACACACCGCTGTACATGTGTGTGTGTGTGTGTGTATATATATATATGTGTATATATATATATGTGTATATATATATATATATATATATATATATATATATATATGTATGTATCTATTATCTATCTCTATCTCTATTTATCTATCTATCTCTGACTTGGAAATATGGAGAACTGAATTTAAAAAACAAGCAGCAGAGAGAAACCAAAACTGACAAATTCAACCATCTCGAAGTTTCTATTAGCCTGAATGGAGACACTGGCAAATCTACAACTAAGTGGATGGGAATTTTTCCATGCCATCACATACTGTGCGCCTGATTCCCAGTAGTGTGATCCAGTAGTTAGATGTATGCTCACAATGCTGATTTCTTTTTTAATTTCCTACTCATCTGCCATTTAGGAGGGGAAATGTGAGGGAGGATTGAGTCCCCCATGTGCTCCCTACCTTCCAGGCAGCTTATAGAACCGTAGAATTGAAGAGCTGGAAGGAGCCCCAAGGACCACCTATTCCAAGCCCTGCAATGCAGGATCACAGCTAACAGATGTGGGTATGTTCTCGAGGCAATGCCCTGGTTCATCATACATCATACATCCCACCCTAAAGTGTTACTGGAAGCACATCAAGAAGCTAACTTATGGACCGGCTGCTCCACATCATCATTGTTAGGAGAGATGCGTCGGCAAGTGTGGTTGACAGGGCTGGCTTCTGGTTTTGCTCTTAATTTCCTCCATGTTAACCCACCATACTCTTTCTTTTCTTTTGTCTTATATTTAAGCCTTACGTTGCATTCAAGTTTTTTGGTTTTTTATAAATCACTTTTTGATTAACAGTACTGTATATGCACGATCTCATTCTGATGGGATGTAATGAATCTAGCAGCTCCATTGCCTTGTGTGCTTATGGGGAGCTTGAGTTTCTCACTGGTTTAGCTCAAGAGGAAGAATAGTAGAGAATTTGCAAGATCAGAAAAGCTTTCTTTCAGCATCCATATCTTTGGCAAGCTTCTCCAATCCCAAAGTTCCTGCAAAGATCTCACACTGTTTATATTATGATAATAAGTTATTAACTGGAGACCTGCCTCTAAAGATTTTCACTGGCTTAGTCAAATAAATATGAGAAATTCAGCTTTCTCCTTCCCCGCCACTTCTTCGACTTCCAGCTTCCAGTTCCCTATCTTGAAAACTCCCTTATAAAAACAGCAATATTGGTGAGATCATTCTCTCAAGCAGTTAGAATATATGTAAACATTCTGTGGTATCACAGAAGCCTACTTATGCCAATACTCAAGATATCTAGCCTTCTGAACCCATTCTTGAGAATTCTAGATTTGGGGGGTATATTATTCTATGTAATTTGGGACCTAATGGATGCTGAACAGAGCTTAGTACCTTCTGATGGGAGGCATCACTGCTACAACTTGCATGGCCCAGAACTCTAAGCCAAACAGGTTTTGAGAAGATCCTCCAAGAGCCAAGGGCAGTGGCTTAATATTTTGCAGAATGCCTGTTATCTAGGGTGTCCACTTAGACATTGCAATAAAGGGGATAAGAGGATACCAATCTGCATAAAAACATGCACATGGTAACATGTAAACTAAAGAAATAATTTCTATAACAAATAAAAACATCATATGGAGAGAGAAGAATGTTGCCAGGTGCTAAGTCCATTTGATCACCAGCTGCTGAAGGACTTCAAGGCTTCTCTTTTCCTTTCTTATGACTCTTTCAACTGGGAATGGACTGGACAACGCTTCAGAGAGCGTTGGGATTGCCCAAAGGATTGCCCTCTGTAAAGCAGAGCACCTTACTTCTGTCTCACTCAAAACCAGCACTCAAAGAATCAATTAATTAGCACATGATTTCTTTTATTGTATATAACATAAATACTATGGATTGTATCCAATGCTAGTCCTACTCAGAGAAAAACCACTGAAATTAATGAACACGACTAAGGGAGCAATCTTATGCTTAAGAAACTGGTGTAAAGTTAAGCGGGTGGCAGTTAAGGTGGAGTAGAGTTACACCCTATCCAAACCCCATTCAGCAGTGGGGCTGCTACTGCTCAGCCTTGACTTGGCAGAGAAACTGGCCCAAGGTCACTCAGTGAGCTTCATGGCCAAGTGGGGATTGGACTCCTAGTCTCCCAGGTCTTAGCTGGACACCCTAACCACTTACACCATGCTAGCTAGCTGTACACCACACTGTTATGATTGTGTTCAACCTCTGGCATCTCCAGAAAAGGCTGGGAATGTCCGCTCTCTGAAATCCTGGAGAGTCACTGTAGATAACACCAAGCTAGATGGGCCTATGGACTGACACAGTATAATGCAGCTCCCTATATTCCTAAAAATGGTTGTGGGGAGAATTCGGGTCTACACTGCATGGTCCATTCTGCTTGCTGGATCACAGCATTGTGCAGGCTCAAACATGTCGCAAAATCTTCATTTTGTATTGATGCACATGGTGGTTGTTCCCTCTGTGCAATCGTCTCATCTTTATATTTCGTTTGTCACCCTCGTGACTCACCTGCCCAAGCCATTATAAACCCTTGTTTCTCATTATGTACTATCTCAAAGATCTGATCTCAGTACTCTGCCAACCTTATGAAGAATGTTATCTGGATCATCTTGAGGCTTCATTGTTTAAACATCTCCTGTCTAGCTCAATTGCCTGCAGCTTAACTTCCTTCACGTATCCATGCCAAATGCTTCTGCTGAGATGATCCATCTGAATAATCAGTGCATGCTTCCTGCCACTGGGCTCTTACTCTCAAGCTCTCTGCAGTTCCGCTCTCCTGGTGGGTCATGGCTCAGTGGCAGTGTGTGTCAAAGGTTCCAGGTTCAATCCCCCAGCATCTCCATGTAGGGCTGGGAGTAAACCCTGTCTGAAATCCTGGAGATCCACTGCCCGTCAGTGTAGACAATACTAGGCTAGATGGACCAGTAGTCCAAGCTGGTATGAGGCAACTTCCATTGACGGTAGGCTGCCTGGACAGGTGCTTTGGTGAAGCCTCACAAGAATTGAGGCAGCTTCTCTGCTGTGTCTGCAATAAATAGCAACTGTCACTGCTACAGGGTACATGAGTGATGGGCCTTGCCTCTTCTTAAGTGGCAAAATGGCTTGGGCCAGTCCTGATGTTGTTGAGTGCATGTTGTGTGAAGTTGTTTTATTATTATTATTATTATTATTATTATTATTATTATTTCTACCCCGCCCATCTGGCTGGGTTTCCCCAGCCACTCTGAGCGGCTTCCAACAAAAGATTAAAAATACATTAAAACATCAGTCATTAAAAACTTCCCTAAACAGGGCTGCCTTCAGATGTCTTCTAAATGTCATATAATTGTTTATTTCTTTGACATCTACTGGAAGGGCGTTCCACAGGGTGGGCGCCACTACCGAGAAGGCCCTCTGCCTGGTTCCCTGTAACTTCGCTTCTCACAGTGAGGGAACCGCCAGAAGGCCCTTGGCACTGGACCTCAGTGTCCAGGCAGAACAATGGGGGTGGAGACGCTCCCTGGAAGATAGTCCCACTGAATTCAATAGAAATGACTTCCAAGCAAACATTGGAAATTGTAGCCTTAGTTCTCCCAATGATCAAATATGTTTAAATCCCATTTTTTTCCTTTTCCTTCCATATTGCTCATGTTAAATCACAATCTGATCGTGGTTAGTCGATGAGAAGAGATTCTAATCTATATGTTGCTGGAAAGATGTAGAATATGGGTGGAGTATCAGCAGCATTATCTCAGCATTTAGGATGCTCGCTGAGGCTTTCACTTAGCCCTAACTTGACAAAGCCATAGTTCTATTATTATATGAAGAGCCCATTGCTCAATGTGCTCTGTCAGTACAAGCTCACGAGCCACAGTAGGAATGCCACTGAAGCTAAGCTGGAACAGCAAACAAAAAGTATTGTTGGGAGTTTGCTGTTTGACTACAGGAAGTTGTGTTGCTATGGGTTGGTGTTTTTTGTTGTTGTTGTTGTTGTTTTTGCATGACATGACTTTGGATGGCTGTCGTAACTTTGACACGAAAGAATCTTCATGTTCTTTTACGGCTGTGGATGTTCCCTGAATGAGCAATTTGCTTGCAGGTATGGCGGTCCGAGATAAGCTTGTGGCAAACTGCGTGTGAGAGAAAGAGTTGTTTAGCAGCTTCTGAGCAGGGAGAAAGAGGAGTGTGGGTGGATGGAGGGAGCTGTGAATTAGCTGAAAGCACCTTGTTAGTGCAGAGTTTCTCTATGACAATCTGATGCAGAATAGCTGATATGTTGCCTTGTAGGGTTAGGGTTAGGGCTCCACTTGTTATGTCCTTGTAGATTTGGAAGTGAGAATGCTATATATGCCTTGTTCTCACTCATCCAAATGATCTAATTCCAATAGCACTGCCCCAGAACTTCTCACTGCTAAGGGCAGGGGTCAGAAACCTTTTTCAGCCATGGGCTGGTCCACTGTCCCTCAGACCATGTGGTGGGCCAGACTATATTTTTTGGGGGTGTGTGTGTGGAAATGAACGAATTCCTATGCCCCACAAATAACCCAGAGATGCATTTTAAATAACAGCACACATTCTACTCATGTAAAAACACACTGATTCCGGGACCGTCTGTGGACCGGATTGAAAAGGCAATTGGGCCGCATCCAGCCCACGGGCCTTAGGTTGCCTACCCCTGGCTAAGGGGAACTAGGGAGCATGAAACAATAAGAAAACATCTAAAATCTGAAACATGAAGGCCAGTTTTTGAACTCCACTTAATCATAACTGGAAATGCAACCCAGACAGGTTTGTGAAAAGAGAGTCCAAGTTAGCACTGTGTTGTGCATGCTACTGCAGTGATGACGAGAAAGAGCTGCAAGCTGGAACATTTGCTAGTGTTCATGCAATGGCTAAATCCATGCTTACACTACTGTAACGTTACCAGATGTCCCTGTTTCCTGGGGACAGTCCCCAGATTTGCAAATCAGTCCACTGCCAAAATCCATCAATTTAGTAGGAAGTTGAAAAGTGTCCCCGGATTCATTGGAAAAAATCTGGTAACCTTATT